TCAAAGTTGGGATAATAATATCCGGCCAAAATGGGCGGACAAATCTAACCTAACACGTCATTTAAATGCTATTAGGCCCACATGCCACACAGGTGACACATCAGATATTTTTTATCCCTACACAGCCTAGTAAACGAATGATAAGGTCGGTTAACCAACCTTATCATATCCTATCATCTCTAGTAAACGAGGCCAAGGGTACAACCACTGAACTTCAAAGAACCTAGTTGCACCCTTAAATTATTTAACACAGTTTACATTAAATTCATTCCATTCCTTAATAGCTGCAGTAACCACAAAATGCACTTGCCTAAGAACATTATCGAGTTATCACAATAATTTGTGAAGAATTATTCTGGTCCTCCTACTTCCAACTCGCACCAATTACATCACCAACCCCGCACCAAAGTCAATGTACAACTCTTAAAGAACAATGCGCAACTCGTGAAAGCTGCGATCCCTCCTCTCCTCCCCCACATACAGACACACACACAACCGCTGTAATTTTCTTTCATTTTCGGTACACATATCCGGCAAGTAATGGAGTTGGTCTGCTGTAACTGTGGATACACCGCTCCATCTTCGCCACTGGCGTCGCCGGCGATTGGTCAGCTAAAGACCCATCGGAAATATGAAAAGTTCTACCGGAGGTGTTCATCTGAAAGTAAAGCTAGGAGGCCAGTGAGTGTTCGAGCCCAGAGAAGTGGTTCTTTGGTACAAGTCGAGAAGCCCATCAGTACAAGCATTAGCAGCGCACTGGAGCAGCTGGATATTGAAAGAGGTGTTTGTATTCCCTTTCGGAAGTACACTCCGGAATCGGTATGTTAGCTTATGTCAGCTGTGAATTCTCCATTTTCCTTTTTTGTTTTTGTCATAAAGGTATCAGCTTTATATGGAGAAATTATACTGACATGCTAAGATTTGTATATATCAGATTTCTAAAATCATGATTTGTATACATCATTTTTTTCACCAATTAGACTTTTTTTTTTCATTATCGATATAAAAAGAAAAACGAATTTTATATACTTATCGGTTTTGATAATACAATGTTATAATCATTATCATTATTTATTTTAAAAGATAGTGTTTGTCATTTATTTGATTTCAAAAGTTGGAAAAATTTTCATAGTTTAGGTCTCTTTTTATTTATGCATTTACACAAATTAGTTTAAAAAATCTAATAACGATTGGCAACAAAATTTGTTATATTGATTCAAACCAACTAATTAATAAAAGAGTCCATCAATCACGAAATTAAAAAATAACACACGATCACTAATTTCAAAGATTAAGTTATTTAGATAAATATTCATTTATATTGTCATGGCGATAAACAAGAGTGAGTGTCAATCTTAGAAATTTGATGTTTTCAACTGCTATATTTTCAATGGTTTTTTTACCGTAGGAATTTCTGTTTGAATATGCAAATTCTGTTGGAATTTTTATTTCTACCCGTTGAAAAATCTACCGTTGGAATCGTCAAAATTCAACGGAAATTTCAATGGAAAATTCATTCCAACTGAATATTTGGATTAGCAACAGATTGGTGACAAATGGAGTTCCGTCAAAGTCAACTTTTATTGTACGTTGGCATGTTAAATAATAGATCAAGAAGAGTCAAGGTCAACATTTATTGTACGTTGACATGTTGTTAAAGAAATTGATTTTTAGTCACGAACAATTATGTTGTTTGTTTCGCGTGTAAATAATAGAAAAGTGTTTGAAAATATTAGTTTGTGGGGACGACGAGTTGCTCAGTTATTAAACAAATAATGTTGTGTACAAGAAAGTTTAAATAATATATTTTTTTGCATGAGAAACATTTTATAGTTTGATAATTTTCCTACGAATTATCACTCTTTTATTTATTAATGCATTTTAACTTTTAATATTCTCCAAAGTAAATACAGTCCGTGCATCGCACGGGTTACATACTAGTGTTCATAATCTTTGGGAATGATGAAATGTTTTTTGAATAATTAATAATGAAGACATAGCATAGCAATACCACTGTCTTGAAGTTGTGATGCATTTAACTGTCTCTGATGATCATGTGAGGAAAAGCAAGATACATAATATACATTTGCTTCAGATTTCGTTTATTGGTCTTGCTTCAGTTTTACTCTATCAAACAATTTACTCCCATGTTTCATCTATGTACTGATTTGAGTACTTATGTAGGTTAGGAATACTGTGTTGGAGTCAAGAGGTTCAATATTGTCATTAATTGGCAGAGGTGTGGAAATTTTATGGGGTTTGGGACTCTACTGGTCTGCCTTGATGTACGATTGTTTTGTGGGCCGTGATGAAGAAGTTGTTCCATTTCGTGCACGCCAACTGAGGAATCTTCTGTGTGACTTGGGCCCTTCTTTTATTAAAGCTGGACAGGTGATTTTTCGACGTATACATATGTTTCATCAATATTGGTGTTTGTCAGTAGGGATAACCATGTTCCCGGTTTTCCTCCCCGCATTCACAAGCTTTATTTTGATCTTTTAGGATGGATAGGCAAAAGGAACTGAAGATTTGGATGAGTAGTTTAATCGAATTATGTTAGACCAATAGGGAAAAAAATCTAAATTGATGGGTTTTGAAGGCGAAAAATTAGACAATGCATAGTGAAAAATATTGAATAATTTCTTCTCGTTTTAGTACTCAAGGTCCAAGTATACTTCGGTTTTTCGCTTACATAAGTTTTTTCAGTAGTACCGTGTCGGAATTACTTACTAGTTTGACTCTATGCTAATTTGGTTTTTCGCTTACATAAGTTTTTTCAGTAGTACCGTGTCGGAATTACTTACTAGTTTGACTCTATGCTAATTTGTATTATCTGGCATGTTCTTGTGGCTTTGACCTTGGAGAACCTTGGTTTTGATGATCTTCTGCTACTTGTGTTTGTTTTATATCTTATAGGTAATCACAATGCTATTTTTTCTCAGTTATTTAGGACCTGATAAAATTACTATTCTGAAGCCCTTCCATCATAACCTAGTATTTAGTTTACTGAATTGACTATTGGCATGGTTGCTTTCTTTTTGCTCGGCAATAGGTGCTTGCTAATAGGCCTGATATTATCAGAGAGGATTACATGAATGAACTTTGCATCCTTCAAGATGATGTTCCTCCTTTCCCAAATCAGGTATTCAATTTTCTTGTTGATGCATCTATTTCACATTATTTTTAATTTAGCTACCCATCATTAAAGTTTTGTAGGTAGCTTTTGACATAATAGAAGAGGAGTTGGGCCAACCTCTAGAGGCCGTTTTCAGCAAAATATCATCAGAGACAATTGCAGCTGCAAGCTTGGGTCAAGTTTATCGAGCTACACTCCGATCATCTGGAGAGGATGTTGCTATAAAGGTTTGAGCTTAATCAACTTTCATTTATCTATGTTGTTCAAGAACTGAGGTTGTCTTTACATGAGTTTGTCCTTCCGCTTTCATGCGTACATGAAGTTGACCATCTTAACTTATCAAGCTCAACTATGCAAAAGGTAGATAAAGGACATGATAAGGGTGTCTTTTAGTGGTATGTTCAGCTGCTTACTGAGACTTACCGAGACCGGAGAATGTGTGAGGTTTTAAGACAAATTTCTTCTTAAAACTTAATGCATATATAATGATATTTATTGAAATTAGTGATGTTTTAATCTTCTCTGATTACATACAGGAACTTGTTTAATGGGCTTCAGTTTAGCAGTATCGCATTTATTATCCTTTTCATGTTTTACCTTTGGATACCTTTTTCAAAAGTCAAATACAATCCTTGCCAGTTACCTTATCTTGGGCATCATCTCTTGGTTTATTGTTTTTGCTCTCCCATGTTTAAAGTTTTAAATTTTTCAATGACTTCGTGAATTGGATCTCAATCATATGCTTGCAGGTGCAAAGGCCTGAAATAGAGCCCATTATTTATAGAGATCTCTTTCTTTTTCGTACTCTAGCATCGTTCTTGAACGGGATCAGCCTGCAAAAGCTGGGCTGCAATGCAGAGCTTATAGTTGATGAATTTGGAGAAAAGCTTTTGGAGGAGCTTGATTATACCTTGGTATTAAATATTAATATATACTATTACCTTGTCATAAATGGGCTCTTCACTTTTCTTTTTTAAAAAAAAAAAAATCATGATCGAAATTTGTGGCATTTTTTTCTTATTCCTTGAAACTAGAAGTCAAATGCCTTTTGTTCAGCATCTAATTTGGCTCACTTCTAATTCCTTCCATTATCTTCCCTTCTGAGTACTTAATATTGCTACTTCTGTTGAAGTGTTAAATATAGTGCATAGAGTTCAAAATTTCATATGGATCTTTAGGCATCGTCTGATATCCTTCTTGATGTTTAACCCCCAGGAAGCCCGTAACATTGAAGATTTTATTGAGAATTTCAAGGGTGATCCAACAGTTAAAATACCACGCGTCTATAAGGAGCTTTCTGGTTCACGTGTGTTAGTGATGGAGTGGATTGATGGAATTCGATGCACGGATCCTCAGGTTTATATATCACTTAACTTTTTTTTTTTTATTTTTACTTTCCGAAAACAACACATGTCAATGTGTACTCGAAGTTGTTATTTGTTATACAGGCTATCAAGAATGAAGGAATTGACGTGGGTGGTTTTTTGACGGTTGGAGTAAGTGCGGCGTTGCGACAGTTGCTGGAATTTGGTCTGTTTCATGGGGATCCACACCCTGGAAATATCTTTGCCATGCGTGATGGACGTATTGCATATGTGGACTTTGGGAATGTGGCTGTTCTCAGTCAGGTAGCTATACATATTGGATAACAAATAATTGAATATTTAGCTATATCCGTGTTGTGGCTTTGTACAGCTTCACCATATTGACTGCAGTTAATGGTTTCAATATGCTTGTCTTGGTTTTTGACTGGTCCTTGTACATTTTTACTTTATAATAATAATATGTGGTTTTTTCTGGATGAGTGTATACTTTTTCCTGGACTAGGGTGCTGTAGAATGTGAAGTCCAATGTTCAAAACCATTGTTGCAACCTATTTTTCCTATATATCATTGTAGTTGTGAAAAATAGTAGTTAGTGCTGACTGTTTCTGCAATATATCCAATGGAAATAAGTTTTGACTTTTGAGTACCTCCTATAGGATTTTCTAGTTGTTTTGTTTTTTCACCTCCATAAGGAATTATGTTGTGGTTTCGCAATTGCAAAGTTCTGCTACCTAAGTTGGTTAATATATCTTTTCGTTTAATTATAACTTCTGAAGTAGAGATGAACCACATAAGCTTTTCTATTTATTTATTTTTTTGCTTTGCTTCTCTTTACAGCAAAATAAGCAAATTCTTATAGATGCTGTTGTCCATGCTGTAAACGAAGATTATGCTGAGATGGCTAATGATTTTACCCGGCTCGGTTTTCTGGCCAGTGGAACTGATGTATCCCCTATAATTCCAGCTCTGGAAGCAATATGGCAGAACTCTGTTGGGAAAGGCCTATCGGACTTTAACTTCAGAAGTGTTACAGGTATTCTTTGTAATTCCAGTTTGGATGCGAAAGAATTCTATTATATCATATCTCTCTCTCCCTCTCCCTTTCCCTCTCATGTGTGTGCCATGAGTTCTTTTTATGCATGCATTTCACCAAAATTCATGTAACATACTGTGCTGTCAAAAATTCTATGGAGCCATCGGATGGTTTTCTTATGGAGCTACCATCACTTAATATATTGACACCTGTCCAAATTGTATTTATTGTAGGACACATGTCAATACACTATTGGTGAATAAGTGTGGATGGCTTTATAAGTCGAGCCATCCGATGGCTCCATAGCAAAACTGGCTGTGCTGGATTTTCAAGTTTTAGTAACTTTGTTATAGTTCAATTCTGCTATTGCTGTTGTTGTAATGGTTCTTTAGTTTCTTACTTTTTTTTAGACTCTTACTGATGCAGCTATTTTCAAGAGTAGGAAATGTTACTGATGGACATTCCCACTGGACCAGCATCTGCCCAAATCAACATAAAATTAGAAAACCACATTTAACCACTATATTTATCCTACATTTCATATTAACAACTGTAATTATGTATATTGGGTTTTCAGATCAATGAAAGCTTTATGTCCTAACTCTATGGCTGCTAAGTTTTCCAGATTGCAATTTGCAATTTTTGCAGGGAAATTCAACCAGCTAGTCTACAATTATCCTATTCGAATTCCAGAGAGGTTCTCTCTTGTTATTCGCTCTTTGTTGACTCAAGAAGGCATATGCTTCACCCTGAAGCCTGATTTCAAATTTCTTGAGGTGATACGCTTTTTTTTGGAGAATGATTTCCTTTTAAACTAATAATCTGAAACTTAAAATCACTTTTGTGTACATCAGATATAACTGTCGACTCACTTCTTTTCGTATATACTTCTGATGATCTCTTGGAGATCTTTAGAGGGAGAAATAAGAAATGCATTAATGATAATGCAATGCAAAAGGCAAATTATTATAGTGTTCTAGCGTAATTCCACTGTTGTTATACACCAGTACATGTTAGAGGCTCAGAAAAATTGAACCTTCTCTGATCTACTTGAACATAAATGGAGTGAACTTTTGAGCCAGCTATATAAACTACTGCTTTGATATAATTGGAACTATTTGTCTTTGCCAAGCCAAACATGTCTGTCACTTTTCACCTATGTCTCAATTGGATCAGTTATTCATTGATTGTTGGTGGTTTGATTATCATTATACTAGGTTGCCTATCCATATGTCGCAAAGCGCCTTCTGACAGATCCTAATCCTGCTCTACGTGAACGTCTTATCCAGGCATGTCACATTATTGAGTTCGTATATTATAATATTTAATTGCTGCAGATAATCTGCTATCCTTGTGTTCTCATTGCTTCTCATTCTCTAAGTGTTGACTTTTGTGTATTCAACTAAGGTGAGAATAACAAAGGTATCATCATTCTAACTGGTTTACATCACATTTCATCGAAATAATAAATCTTCCTCTGGTCACGAGACATGGACCATGCCCAACCACATGAAAAGTATGGGAGCAGTATATTAGCAGCAGTAGATTTCATTGAAATAATCTATCTTTCTCTGAAATACAGTAACACGCAACGTTTTAGAGGATTTGTGCAAGTCATTACTAGAGCATGTTTATGTGCTCCCTTTTAGAATCAGTTCATTGAAAAATTAAACAAAAATGTTACAGCAATCATTAATGTTCGTGAATTTTTTTCACTTGCTTGATTTGCCAGGTTTTGTTCAAAGATGGGGTTTTCCAGTGGAAAAGGCTTGAGAACCTCATCATCTTAGCGAAAGAAAATGTGGCTAAGATGAGCAGCAACCCTGCATTGCAGAAAAACAATATGTACGTCATATTCTTGTCCTTGTATAGCATACATTCTATTTTATTTTATTTATTTTCTTTTTTAGTCGAAAATTAATGGTATCTTCTGAGACCCAGAAAATATGAAAACCGAACACTTGCTTGCACATTAGATCATTTACCCTGTTTATTTCATTCTTTTCTACTCTTTTTGGCTGCTAGTGTCGTTTGACATTCTCTTCTGTGACATGCAAAGCTCTAGGGAGCTACAAATTGCAAGGAAATTGGACCTCACAGACACTATCAAGGATGGGACCCGGCTGTTTCTAATTGATGAAGGGATTCGTAGACAGCTTCTTCTTGCTCTCACAGAAGACTCCAAGCTTCATATTCAAGAGGTTTGTAAAACTTGGGGTCAACTCTAAATAGTGCTCTTCAGTGTTACTCTCTCAATAAAATCATCCATATTTCGTAAATGCAAATACCAGTGTCACTCTCTCCTTCTCTCTGAAATGAGCCATACTTCGAAAATTACAAACATCATGGTGCAATTTGTTAAACATGTGTCGAGGATATCATAATTATTCTTAAGAACTGCATTTTTCAAGACAGGTTAAACCAATTTAGTGAAATACTTGGCATCTAACAAAAATGTCCTTTTCCTTCAGCTTGTAGACGTATACAGATTGCTCGAGGACCAAATAGACATACCTTCGGTTGCTTTACAAGTCGCGCGAGGTAAAAAGCTTCGATTAGAACTGTCTTGAATTATTGTTAGGAAAAAGATCATATGCATGTACTCACACAGTATACATAAGCAGTATAACATTTTGGTTTAACTGCTTTATAGGAATATATTACTATATATATTTATGTACAGTGTTCTAGAAGTCGCTAGGCGCTCGCTAGGCGCCCGACCAGCGCCTAGCGCCTAGAGCGCCTAGTCGGGGCCTAGGCGGGGTCTAGGCGGGGCCTAGAAATTATAATAAATATATTATTTTTATTTATTTTTACAATTTCACTAATGAAATTATAACTTATAATTAATAAATCCATACACCTAAGTCCCAATAATATTATTAATATTATATTATAAAACAAACTTCAAGTCAAAATAAGTACATAACCACAATATAACTTCTTCTCATTGTAATTTTATCAAACACATTATCTACATGTTATGTTTTAAACATTACACAACATAAGACAATTATAAAAACCAACTAAACACTAAATTCACTAATCATTAACTAATTAAATTAACACATATAATAATAATAATAATACAATAAAACACATGAATAACAAAATAAGAAATAAAAAAAATATATATATATGCATTTAGTTAAAAAAA